AAAAACCCTTATTAGAGTCCTTGAAAAGGGTTCCAAAGATGGGCTCATCCCCAAGCCTTTGGCGATGAGTGGTTAATGGGTTGCATTACGAGTTGCATGGGCGCATCGTGGAGGAGATTCTACAGAGCGGAGGACCCACTAGAATGCAAAGACGCAGGATGGTATCAGGGTAGCGCACAGTGCTTCGGTCGATTCGGTCTCGCTAGCGGCATTAAATTAATAACTTCTAAAATATTAGAGACATCTTCAATCGGTTTTTTTATTTTCGGTTTGTTACTCAATTTTGCATTATGTGGACAAAAATGAAAATTATAGTGTTTTTTTTTAATTTTTATTTAAAAAAATACTTTTTTTAAATTTTTTGTATTCTAAAGAAAAAAAGTAAGAAATAGAATTATAACTTATATTATGCAAGAAGCAAATAAGAAACATATACATTATATACAAAATTGTATATACATTATACACAAAAAAATTAAAATTCTGTGAACAGAAGATGGCATGTCAAACCAAGGGTATTTATTAACAAAAATTTCGGCAGTTTCCATAGCGTACGATCCGAATGCATTGGTGTTTAAGTAATGTCCACAGGACAATGCTCGAAGGATAAAGCTAAATCGGAATATTAAAATTTGGTTACTCTTGTTATGCGCGCAGCTAAATTTGGAAAAAATCTTCCTCCAGTCCAGTCTTATAATATCCCCGGTAAGCTCCTCGTCAGCATTCAGCTTCGACACAATTCTTGATGTATTTCCGTCCTTATACAAGCGGCTACTTTCAGCCAACAACAATGCATCCGTCAAGACTTTCTCCGAAATGCCTGATAGTTTGTTGATTTGAGTTATTCTGCATCACTCTGAAATACTTTTCTCTGGGCGTCCATCATTTCTAAATCGTGTCTAGCCATTTTTTTCAAAAGCTGCCTTATTTACATCGCATTTCTCCACCACTGGACAATCCCGCTATTAAAACTACTATTTTTCCCCAATTTTGAAAAACTCCTTTTCGTTACAATAATATTTGATTGTAACGGCTTCGCCGTGCCATCCTAAGAAAAGTGCGCGCTTCGACACTGACATTCTTCCTAAAAAGTGAAATAAATTGTAGATACGCAGGACTTGACATTTCGGACAGATAATAATTCACACTTTAACAAACAATTGCAACCAGAGTGAATGCAGGTGAATTTGTTAAGTTATACTTCACGAAAGACTGGTGTGCGCTCTATTCTGCACATTGTTAATACACTCCAAATCCACTACAATTTATAAGTAACACATATACTGTCACGTCACAAGCACAGATTTTCTATGTAGCACATACCTTAATAGTTGTTAAAAACCAAACTTGCACTAGAATAATCGTAAATTGCACTATTTATTCAAATATGCAACCAATAAGTAAAAGGGCGCCAAAATTGTAAATATCAACTGCTGAAACATATGTTGACTTTGACAGTTCACAGCTGATCATCAGCTTATTGATGAGCTTAGAAAACATCAAATAGCATCTAATCAAGGTGTATACTATCGATAGGTAAACTTAAATTAACGTTTATTTAAATTTGAAAATCATAATTAAATGCCGCTAGCGAGGCCAAATCGACCACTGTGCAGCGGGTCCAGCCGCTCCATTTACCAGGGCATAATCCACTTTGGCTTTAAGGCTTTTGAAAAACGATTCTAGATCCACAACCTTATTATTAAGCTCATCAATTTCCAATGACGGAAGCTCAATCATTTCCGATGACGCAGCTATCACGTTGCCACATTAAGTTTGGAATGTTAATAAGTAGTTTTATAGCCTCCGAGGGCAAATCCACACAGGCGGTGGGATTGGCACGCCGGCAGATCACGCGCACCGAACTGCCTCACACGCACAAAGTTGGGTAGCAGTAACTTCTGCACTGCTCTCGGTGCAAACGAGAGGCTACATGAGCGAAATAAGTAGTAAACTTCCGAACACAAAGAGAGCTACAGATGCAGATGTAGATGCAGACTGATCTTGGTGTCCTATTAGACCAGTGGGGGGCAAAACTAACACATGTTTTAAATTTGAGTGTGTGCGTAGCAGAGAAAACAATGCGGGCAGAGAATTCACTGAGCGAACAAAACGTATTTTTTTATTTCATTTTTCGTTAATTCAAAAGTTGGAATGGGCACTAAAATTGAGTACTTTATTAAAAAAAAAAGCTTTGCTAGCAACATTTCTTAAACAAATGAAAAACTACGCTTCCCTATCTGTATTCTCCATGAAGAAAACTTTTTCCAACCCAATTTCTGAACAAAATGTTTCTCAGTGGAAACATTTTGATTTTTAAGTTTGGGATGTCAAATAAGTCGAAAAGAGAGCAATTGAGAGAGCTTCTAAAAAAAATTGAGAGTGCTCACACTGTCAGTGTGCCGGCAACGCTGCGGCAGAATTTCCTACCCTATACTCGCGAGCTATGTAAAATGAGAGTTTGCCCACCACTGTATTAGACTTACAACTAAATTTGCCGACCATATTTTCACAATGGTGAATAAGGCTCAAGATGTCCTTGGTTTTATTAGAAGATGGTCAAAAAAATTAACGACCTCTATTTTACTAAAAATATATTTATTTCCTTGGTTCATCCGACTTGGAGTCCCCAATGTGGCATATCCCCAAGACCGCATAAAATCTGTACAAAAGAATCGTCTTGAAACTTTGCACACACCCTTCTTTCCTTTGCACGCAGTATATAAGTATTGCTGAGCGATCGGAAATTGCCTCGAATATACTGGTATTTTAGTTGGGAACATTAACAACTTTGGTATTTTTGAAGAAGCTTGACACTTTTTTTTAGATATTTTATTGTAATTAATTGGCCAACTATATCCGATGCTTGCGATATATATCCGGTTTCAACTGAAAGGGTATATCAACTTCGGTTCCGCCCGAAGTTAGCTTTCCTTTCTTGTTTTAAAGAAATTTAAACAGACAACCACATGAACAAGCTAAAGCTATTTTTTCTTTTGAATAATGCTGTTAAAATCGTATTTCTTGAATAATTTTTAAACGAAATGTCGGATCGGGATGGGTGAGATGTCTATAGACGGTCATTCAAGAAAACAATGTGAAAATGGGGGGAGATGTAGATGGGGACTCCAATATCTCCAATAGCCTCAATTTATTGAACAAAAATTTTGTTACTTTTACCCACATTTTTCCCAAGCCGATCAACTTTTGGCAAATCTTTGAGCATAAATGATTGAAATAAAACAATCGCTTTCATTTGGTTTAATATTTATTTGGATCATACACACAAAACAATTTTCTGGCTAATTTTTGAAGGGATTTTACATCTGGCTGCATATGTGTGACACTATTGGGAAAGTTATTACAATTAAAATGCCCAACTAAAAGAAGCAAACATAAAATGGGTTCTTTGCTACCAACCATCATCAATTGTCGACTTATTCTTGCTACTTTTTTGGCTTATGCTGCTTATCAAGATAAAAAAAAAAGGGTCTGCTGTTTTATTTTAGCTGCTATGAAATTTATTCTATTCGATATTATTCCTCATGTGAAAGAAATCTAATACTAGTTGTCTGCATATAAATAAGAAAAAGCCAATCGCTTCCAATTATAGAGGCATAATCAAATTCTTAGCTATTCCAAAGCTTTTTAAAAAATTAAGGACTCCACATTTCCAAACTTTTGTAGCTCAATAGTTTTTGCTTGCAAGCATGGTTTCATAAAGCTCCACATTACCAAATTGCTAGAGCTAAATTCTTTTGGATTCCGAAGTGGCTTAACCATTTTTAAGCTAGTCTTTTTTATTTGACTATGAAATGTTAACCATGTTTTATATATGTCTTATAAATTTTTTCCCGATTGGATAAAAAACATTAAAGTTATCCAAGAAAGAGTTTTTATGGGCGCTAACAAAGGCGACTGTAGGAAAAATTGTTTCTACTTTGAAAACCTCGAGGTTGCATTAGTATTAGTATTATGCAAGTAGCAGAAAATATAATGCCCATTCCACTGCTGACAACTGCTTGGGGTGGCATAGCGACATATCACCATATAACAGACTTTTCTTTACTGTTGAATCTATCTTTGCGTTGGGATCACAGCGTAGTAGATATCTGCATGGCTTCACTCACAGCATACGATGAAATAATAACAAAGCTACTTTCAACTTTTCAGATATATGTCTTATATTTGAAAGATGAAATCGGCTTTCTTCAGGTTATTTTTATTTTAAAGTTATTATTATTTTTTTTATTTTTATTTTAATATTTTTATTACCGCGAAAACAAACAAAAAAAAAAAAAACAAAGATACTTTAAACTTTTCAGATATATGTCTTATATTTGAAAGATGATTTTGTAAAAATTTTAAATGTTTCTGGAAGCTGGACAAGGGGCACGCCAATGCACGGAACCAGGAACCCCCTGGTGACTCTTCTACAAGTCGTAAAATTCGTCTGAACCAAATAGTTAAAAAATTAAGAAATTAATGGCGGCATTTGAAATATTTAGTGTCAGCTCGAAAAATGTAGTTTTCCAGAAAACGCGTTAAAAGTTTCCCCGAGTCTCTGTGGAATGACTCTATCGATCAGCCTACAAAGCCTCTGCGACGAATGGCAGAGTTCGAAAGGCATCCTCCGTGCTAGGTATGCGACTGCATTCTCTCGTGCGGCGATCTCGTTCGACTGAAGTCAGTCTTCACTCAATCGTCAGCCCCTGCAGATCGAGCTGCAGTCACGGCCATCCATCAATTCCCCGTCATTATAATACCCCCCTGTACTAATTGTTACTTCTATTTTCATTACTGAATTATATTGAATAAATTTAATATATGCTTGCGCATACATAAAATTGGCGACGAGGATGGGATACTAATCCCTGAGCGTAAGCTAATTAAATTCAACAATTATCGTACAGGGAGAAAGAGAGACGGAATTGATGGTGACGAGTATGTATTTACCGTACGTCGAATTGCGGTAGTCGTATTATTCTTGAAGCAAGCACATGGATAAGCGCCGAACTGTCGGTCAAGCTGAGAAGAGCGCCGGCGAAGAGGTTAAACAAGAAATAAGTGATAATCAATCAACTCCACGAGGGAGTCTCGCTGAGAGCGGCTGTACAGTTGAGCCAAATACTACGGCCAGTACTGATAAGCGAAAAGCGGTCTTCCAAACTAGCGGAGTCGCCATAGCGGGAGTTGGAACTCTGGAACCTTTCGACCCCTGGGAAATGGAAGGCGTACCGAGATCGCTTCGAGCTGTACCTTTTAGCGAATAGCGTCGTGGACAAGGACCGGAAGAAGGCGGCGTTTCTTACACTAGCGGGCGCACCCCTTTATGAGTTACTAGTGTCGTTAGCATCACCCAGGCAAGTCAGTGATTTGGAATTAACAGAAGTCTATGATATATTAACCAGTCACTTGGCACCCCGCCAATCGGAGATTGCTGCATTCTACCATTTCCACAAGCGTGATCAGCAACCCGACGAGTCCGTCGGTAACTACATGGCCACATTAAGAAGCCTGGCGGTAGGGTGCAATTTCGGACAGATGTTGGATCGCATGTTGCGGGACCGATTTGTGTGTGGCATGCGCGACGCAGGTCTCCAGCGAAGCCTGCTAGCCGACCCCGAATTGACGGTACAGCGGGCCATAGAACGAGCCGTCACTAGTGAAGCAGCCGCTACGAGTGCGTTGTCGATTCGAGGCGACAATATCCGACGCCTCGAGTCTTCGAGCATCGAGTCCATCCACGGGATAAGTTCAAGTTGTGCGGGTTGTGGGGGTCGGCACGTCCGTAAGAAGTGTCCATTCCGCAACGCCACTTGTCATTCCTGTGGTCGAAATGGCCACATACGTCGGGTATGCCGCAGTAACAGTCAAGCTGGGTCAACAAAATCTTCATCTCCTACGCCCAGTAATATTCGTAACAACAGGCCATCGCACGGACGCGTTCATCAAATAGTTCCGGTGGTCGATCATGCCAGTTCGAAGTCGATTGCGGGTCGCCCGTCACCATCATGAAGGAATCTTCGTATCGATACATCTGGCCAAACGGTAATCCCGATCTCGTCAAGTGCCTCCTAAAGCTAAGCGACTATCAACGTAACCCCATTCCGGTCAAGGGAATCACCGACACGTCAATCTGCAATCTGCCATTGGTCGTCACGTCCGGCACCGTTTCTGGGACCAATTTTTATCACTCATTCTTGCCCCAGAAAGCCACCATTGCGGAGACATTAGACTTCTAGACAATAAAGTACAACGGAAGTGGCGTCCAGAGCACCAAAAAGCATTCGCAGAACTAAAGAATCTGATCGCATCAGATGCGGTCCTAATTCATTACTCTCCGGACCGCCCACTGATCTTAACTTGCGATGCGTCACCATACGGGTTAGGAGCAGAGCACGCTGTCAAAGGCAGAGAGGAACTACTCCCAGACAGAGAAGCGGTAGCGTTAGTCGCAGGTGTCAAAAAATTCCATAACTATTTATATGGAAGAAAGTTCACGCGTATTACAGATCATCGCCCACTGCTTGGAATTTTTGCGACAGAAAAGCCAATCCCTCAAATCATTTCCAACCCGATGATGCGTCGAGCAATTTTTTTGAAATCGTATAAATTCAAGTTGATTCATCAGCCTGGAACAAAAATAAGTAATGCAGATTTCCTAAGCCGCTGCCCAACGTCGGATACACACTATGAACCTAGAACAGAAGAAGTTTTCATGATCGAATGGGGCACTGATACCACTGTCACCGCGAACACTTTAGCTACCAACACGTCTAAGGATTGCAGCCTCAGAAAGGTGCTCAACTAGGTGTTAAGGGGATGGAGTAGTGCTAAAGTTCAGCGTAATGATGACCTGTACCCTTTCTTCGTTCGGCGAAACGAACTGACCAGTAACCAAGGAATATTATTTTGGGGTAATCGAGCAGTTATTTCCTTGACGGACAGGCAGGAAATTCTTTCTGCGTTGCACGCGCACCATCCCGGAATCGTAAGAATGAAGGCTTTAGCCCGCAGTTACGTCTGGTGGTTCGGTCTGGATGCAGATATCGAAAAGGCGGTGAGTCCATGTTTAGCGTGCCAACTACGAGAAATTCCCCCCCACGATCGGACGTACATCACTGGGAGTCTGCCAAGAAACCATGGTTCCGCCTGCACATTGATTTTGTCGGATCGTTCCGAGGGAACACGTTTGTGTTAGTCGTCGACTCTTTTACGAAGTGGCTTGAAGTCTGCCTCGTAAAATGTCGATTTTCGTAAAATGTCGATCCGCGTCAGCTGCAATCACCTTCCTTCGGCAACTGTTCGCCACCCATGGCATTCTGGATGAAATCGTGTCCGACAACGGAACTGCTTTCACCTCCGAGGAGTTTATGTTGTTTACGAAAAACAATCGGATCCGTCATATCCGATCCGCGCCGTTCCACCCTGCAACCAACGGACAGGCTAAACGAATGGTTCAAACTACGAAGACTTACCTGAAGAAATTAGATCGTCAACTTAGCGTTAGCTCGTTTCTTGTTTGACCAGCACACTACGTCCCATTCCGTTACGAAGCATTCGCCAGCGGAGTTACTATTCAAAAGGGAGCTCCAGACATTCTTTGACAAATTAAGTCCAGGCGAAAGATCATATGGTAAGATCTGCGATGCCCAAACTAAAAAGTCTTTTGTTACAGGCAGCCCTCTTTGGGTCCGAAACTATGCAAGCGGTCCCAAGTGGCTTGAGGGCCACGTCTCGAAGCGAACGGGACCGATTTCCTATTCGGTGTGTCTCGAGGACGACCGAACTGTCAGGCGACATCTGGATCAGCTGCGATTGCGCAGTCCTTCGCAGCAGCCAACACTAGAGCAGACAGCATCCCCAATTTGCTGTTCCACTCCAACCCCAACTGACGCAGTAGCTGGCGGATCCTCAAGTCCAGCTGGACCACAGCGTTTGCCTGAGCAAGACGGGACTGAAGGACCGCCACGCAGATCGGCCCGTGACCGCCGTCGGCCCCAGTTCTACGATCCGTCTGGGTTTAAAGGGGTGTTATGTATGCGACTGCATTCTCTCGTGCGGCGATCTCGTTCGACTGAAGTCAGTCTTCACTCAATCGTCAGCCCCTGCAGATCGATCTGCAGTCACGGCCATCCATCAATTCCCCGTCATTATAATACCCCCCTGTACTAATTGTTACTTCTATTTTCATTACTGAATTATATTGAATAAATTTAATATATGCTTGCGCATACATAAAACTCCGTATAGGCTTACAGACGATTTCTTTCTTCTAGTTCCACTTGCTAATATTAATCTTTTAAAGTGATGCTACTTATATAAAGTATTATAAAGATCGTCTCATCTCTCCGTCCAGGAAATCGCCCACCGATCCACCTCAACAGCTCCCCCATCCCACAGGTAGAAAACCCAAGATACCTGGGCTTCACGATAGAAGCCTCACCTAGTCAAAAAGCGAAAGCAGTGTGAAGTAAGATTATAGGCGTACTATTGGCTGATGGGTAAGAGGTCGAAGCTGAGGACCTCTTCGAAAATCCTAACCTACAAGGCGATTATTCGGCAAATTTGGACATACGGGATCCAACTTTGGGGCACGGACAGCAAGACTAATATTCTGACTATCCAGGCATTTAAAAAAAGAGCCCTCCGTATGGCCACTGTGGCCCACGTCTACCACAACAACCAGACAATCCACGAGGTGATTGGCTTCCCATGGGTGAAGGAGGAGATAGAGAGAAGCAGCAGCAAGTAGATCCAGAGGCTACACAACCACCCCAACGACCACACTCCTCGACAACTGCGGACAGATGCGGAGGCTGTGCATAACTTACCCGCTGGACCTCATCCGGATAAACTCTAAGACATTCTTATTTTTCCAACTCTAACTTAACTATAAGTTACACATTAGCCAAGTTTTCTGTCACAATATTTAATGTTTGTCCTTGTTGGACAGTTTTAAATAAATTCACCCCTGTCATAATAAAAAAATATCTGGCTTCCCAGATAGCTTATTATATATATCTGGGAAAATCCGCTAACGAAGATAAAGTCATATATATAAGTGGAGCTACCAATGTTGGGCATGCACCTGTGTATCATAAAAGTTTAATATTAATATTACTAGCAACACACTAATTATATTAAAATCATTAAAAATTTTATTTTTTTAAACGTATTCAATATTAAATTGCCTAGAAAAAGATACCTTCAAAGGCTCGGGGTAGCCAAACTACCCGCCAAACTTCCACGAAAGTTTGACGAGTTTCATTCCGATTCATTCCTTTGGTATGTAGTAAAGGAAGACATTGGCCACCTAGGTGACGAATTTTACCTGATGTGAGTTAAACATTTAATTTTTATTTTTCTTTCTTAACCTTCTAAATGATATTTTTGTATTGACCGTAGTAGGTGTTGCACCTGAGCCATCCATCCATTCAGCCGTTTTCAAATGGAAAATGAATTGTCGAAATTACCTCTGGCGAAAGTAAGCGTATTACCCATTTATTTTTTATGGCCTTAATAGGAGTACAAATATTTAGATAAAAATATAAAATATAAAAATATTCTAGAAGAATTAAAAATGGAAAAAAGTAGTAAAAAAGTAAAATAACAAAACAAAAAAGTTGAGTTCTCAGCTCGGCTCGAACTCCTTCCCTTCACATATCAGCCAAAAACTCAACCGCTCAGCTATTCCCGAAGACGTTGTCACGCGAAAATATTTCTAAACTAAAGTTATTACTCCGTGTTGCTTAACCTTTCTACTGTGCCTAAAATATATTGATATAATGATATTGTAGGCTTTTAAATATAAAAATCAGCAAAAAACGCATATAGAAATGAGTGAAAAATGGACACTTAAAGTGAAATATATAACTATCACATATTTTGGTCACTACGGGTCACTATTTGGTCACTATGGTCACTATTTTGGTCACTATTTTTGGCCCATTCAAACTATCGGTATAAAGCTGTCATATAAACCAGTGCGACAAAAAAAAATTGGAGGTACTTTTAAAGAGACGCAGTAAAAATTGTGTATTAGGTCGAATATAGCACAAAACCGTGTTTGAAATATCTGTAACACCCTCAACATCTTGAATTATTTGAAAAAACCCGGAAATTTGAAAAATTATAATTTATAATAATAAATAAATAAATAATTATTTGGACTTTTTTGAGCTTAAAAATTCCTAAACGCGAATTTATTCCGATTTTAGAATTTTTGACGTTTTTCAATAGTTAAATGTTGTAGTTTTTGAAAAAAAATACATATAAAAGGAACTGGGAACTGGCACTTTTTTCAATTTTGTGAAGTTTTTCGGACTTTTTGGTATCATTTTTAAAACATATCAATATTGTCTCATTAATCCTGAATAAAACGAGACCAACTTTATTACGAAATTATGAAAATGGTTGAAGTTATAAGGATAGTCCCAAAACAAGCCAGTGCAATTTTGCTAGCGCTTGGGAGTAACAGTGTGTAAAAGAAAGGAATAAGCGGCAATGGAAGGGCACACTATTGCTCGAACTTGAACTTTACGCAGATGGGCCTGGCCTTATCTCGCCCGGGCGTTCTTCGTGAATGCGACATAAGCCCCATGTCCCTATCTCATCCTTTTGGTCGCCCATGGTGTGCGACCTCTCTATTATAATGCATTTGACTAATAAGCTTCGGGAAGCTTGTCTCAAGATCATCCAGCCATTGCGGACAGCAGACTTCGACCCTCATTTTCTATTTAAAATGCATTTTATAGAACGCATTGATTATTTGCTAAGAATTGGGAAGCTTTTCGGCTACCGAAAACGCTGGGTAGCTCAACAGAAATTTTACTAAATTAGAACTAAAACCGTATTGCTTCGCGCGCGCTGTAATATATGTGAAGGCGATTTTTTTGTTGCGACTCTTTTTATACCCTTGCAGAGGGTATTATAATTTTGGTCAAAAGTGTCCAACGCAGTGAAGGAGACATCTCCGACCCTATAAAGTATATACATATATATATATACTGTATATTCTTGATCAGGATCACCTCCTGAGTTGATAAATTTCACATGAGAGCTATATTTGGCATAATAATACGACATGCAAAATTTCAAAAGGATCGGCGGACTATATCCTATAGCTGCCATATTAATAAAACAATCGGAAATGACCCAACTTTCGTGTATTTGAAGATAGAAAGCTGGAACTTCGTATAGGTTCTATTTTTGGTCAGATAATCCGAACTACCGTATTTCA